TATACTATTCCATATACGAGATGCTATGTGAGCTCGGGATTTCCCCCTTGAAACAAAGAAGAGAATTTCTATGTACATCATTCATCGAAAGGACATTGAAACAAACTGAACAATTTAAGGATTTTATCCCTTCTCCTCCAAAAATGAAACGAACACTAAGAAATTCGAATAAAGTCCCAGAACTTAAGTGTAAAACAAATAGAATGCAGAATAGTGCCATTCCTCATCTGGTACATCTGTATAACTCTAATCCTAAATGAAATGAATTGATTTTTACCTGCAACCTTTTTAATGTATTTTACAAGTTTTAACGTTATTTTAATACTACCTTTCATTTTAATTTGACTGCCACACATCTTGCACAATTTTTAAACTCATTCCCCATCTGGCTCATTTGTATAATTCTAATCCTAAATGAAACTATAAATAATTTTTTCTGCAACCTTTTTGAATGTCTTTTATAAGTTTTAACGCAATTCAAATGCTGCCTTTTCAAAGTAAGATAAATTGACTGCAATACAATCTGTACAATAATATGTATCTCTTTAAATAGACAATTCTTAGTCAGATTTGTATGCACAATGTTTAAACCTTTTCTAATATTACATGACTTGTAGTATGTAATGTCATATTTTTATTATATACAAACACGGTAGGCCTTTTACCTTTTAAAAATGTACTTTTGTAATGTAAATCACGTGCAATTCAGCTGTGGCTGCTATTCGTGATTTGTTAATAAACCATGTTGAATTGAATTGAATTGAAATAGATAAAACAGAGTGAGTAAAAAAAGTGGAACCCGAACCCCCCCCCAAAAAAAAACCCCAGGTTTTTGTTGAATATGTTTGACGATTCTTGAAATCCTATTTTTCGACGAGAGAGGTTTTAATGTCATTGTGTTTAAATCGTGATATTCTTTGAACGGATTGAGCAAATTCAGTAATTTGTTCATCTAAAAAGTAGTTGATATAATAGGCTTTCCAGACATTATGATTTTGGTGCTACATAATTTTCTAAAATATAATATAGATTTTTGAGGGGTTTGGGTTCCGCTTATTTTGACTCACCCTGCATGAGCACACTATCAGTGTACACAATGGAGGGCCCATTGAAGGCAAACTGCCTCATGTCACAGTATTCGAAAAATAGCTGACACAGTGCTCGCGTCATTGAGGTCGAAATCCGTGAGAGTACGGCGACTGGGTGCTGAATGGTATAGGTTTAGTGTCAGTAGCTTGATGCTTAATTTTGCACAAAATATACCTTACAACGACTACCGCCATAATACGTTATGATTCAGAGAAGAGAGAAAACCGATTAAGTGTAGACAAAAGCTTTCATCTGTGGTAAGTAACCAATAACAGTTTAGGATCTTGACAAATGAAGTTATCCGAGAAAATGTAGTGGCAAAACAGCTGAGAGAGTTCGTAAGCTGCGTAAAACCAATCCAGGCAAACAGCATAAGCAAATCTGTCACCATGCCAATAAAAGGACATCTGAGCTCACAACTAACATTCAGGGAATTGGCCGTTCTGATTTGAAGACAAACGCCGAGGTTATCAACAAACAGCTTGCCAGAATCTCAAGAACAAGAACCGATTGATGTAGATAATATAATAATACTTGCCTAGACCTTCGGTTATTCCTCTTTTATATCCATGGGAAATTGTTAAATTTGTTGAGGAAGGTGCCGATGCAAAAGCGGTTGGATAAAGGTAAATACAAAACTTATGATAAAGATGAAAATCCAGTCTCTTTGCGATAGACTGAGTCTGTGTCAAACGTTTGCTCAGAAAACGTACAGGTCACATAATTTCATTCAGTTTTTTACCAGTGTCAAAAAAAAACCTCAACATGTACTTTAATCTTGCCGCACCGCGGATGAAGAAACTAGGTCATCAAACAGATTGTGGAAGAATCCAGTGCCATATCTCAGGAAAACTCTGAACCAACCGCAAGGTGGAATTGTGGATTGTGAATATTTATGTTATTAAACCTTTCATTGTGGTGCACGAGTACTTGTGCCAAGAACTTGTACAACTGGTGAAAACAAACCGTCTACATTGTTGCCTCAAAAGTCTTGAATAATATTATCTAACAGCATCCGCCACTCTAGCCACTAGCAGCTTCAACAAATCTCATTTTATTTTGTTAAGTTGATGTTATAATGCTCATTCTGTTTATAGTCATCTTCTTTTTGCTTACTATTCATTTGGTGTAAAGCGCTGTGTTACTTTCTCCCGGTCAGTCAGAGCGCTTAAATTGCTCTGTATTATCATGATTAAAGCCCGTTAGTGCCACCCCTTTTTTTCGAGAGCTGTTATTTGTTTTTTGAAAGCAGTTTTACTTCAAGGATTTTTACGTAACAAAGTTTTGGTCGTGGGCCTTGCCTTCTTCATGTACGAAATGTATGACACCGATAACAGGCCTGATAGCGGAGTGTCCCCGTTTTTCACGGTCCTTGGTTTCATTAAGGCCATAGAACGTGAAGTCTATTTTTGGTAGCTTTCGCAGAGCAGTTTTTTTTCGAGAGCAATTATTTTGTTTTCGAAAGCAATATTTCTTTTCCAGTGCTCTAATTTTTTTCGAGAGCAATAACTTTTTTTCAACAGCAATTATTCATTTTGAGAGCAGTAGTTTTTTCTAGATCAATTATTAATATTTTTTCAGAAGCTTTTTTTTTAAAGATAAATCATATTTTTTCCATCGCAGTTATTATAATTTTTTTTTAAGCTGGGGGACCGGGAAAGCAATAAAAAAAGGACGTAAGCTGTGATTGCTTAAAAAAGTCTCCAACTTCCCTAAAGTTGTTCAAATATGGCGAGCAGCTTCAGGTTTTAAATAGATTCATTAATAATCTAATTAATTTATTTAATTTTATCAATTGAACAATTAATTGCATTTACATTGTTTACTTAAAAATCCTGTTAAGCCATAAGCAATTACAAACGTGATGCAAAGTGCGTGGAAAAAATCGGGGAAAATTGTTTACATATACCATCTTTAACTCTGAATCTTGCCGATACCATGTTCCTGTAAAGTAAGCTCATAAGGATAATACTAAAAAGAAATTAAAAATTTGGCACTTTTAGGCATTTCCTCATGAAGTTCAGGTGCGATGCTTTTAATCAGAGAATAACCCGATTTTCAATGTTACATGATTTTATCCCAACAAAATTAGCGTCTTTCATGACTAACCTTTCACGTTGAGTGCATGGGCAAAATCTAGTTTTTACCTACCTGCCGTGGAGACGCCCTTCCCCATCGTGCCCCTCTAAGCAAGTTTTTCCCGTTTCTTTTTTTGTTGAGCGGACTCCGATCTTTGACTGCATGCATAGGCGCAGACTAGGCGTCCTTGCGTGCGAAAAAAAAAAAAACTATGCTCTCGAAAAAAATTACTGCTCTGGAAAAAAAATAATTGCTCTCGAAAACCAAAACAAAAACGCACTCGAAAAAAAGAATTGCTCTCGAAGAAAAAATAATTGCTCCGGACAAAAAATAATTGCTGCGGACAAAAAATGATTGCTCCGGACAAAAAATAATTGCTCCGGAAAAAAAAATTGCTCTCGATAAACAAATTACCTGTCTGCAAAAAACACAATGCTCTGCAAAGAAAAAAAATTGCTCTCCAAAAAAAAAAGATAATAACTGCTCTGGAAAAAACTGCTCTAGTGGCACTAACGGGCTTTCGTAGTCAGTTAATTGGAAGTGGTGCTGACATCTAATCAGGTTATCCGTGTTCTCAGTGAGCGTTTTTCACTTCTTCTTATTTTACCTTTGAAATAAGAAATGTGAGGAAAGAACATTTCTCACAAGACGTAAAACCTATCTTGGGTTTGTATTGTGGAGAACAAGGCATTAGATATGCATGTAATGGACCAAATAGAAGATGGGAAACGGATATCGTTTGGGCTGAATTCCCCCCCCCCCCCCCGCGCTCCGTAGCTACGCTGCTTGGGCTAGCCTACAATGTCCTCTTTGTACCCATTTCACTGACTAGATGGGTGATAATTATCCACATCAAGACTCCAACCGGTCTTAAACGTAGTGTTTAATACCGGCCAAGCACATATTTATTCCCATTCATAAATATCTTTTCGGTCAAAATATCAACACTTTTCGGTCCGAAAGTCAAAACAAGTAAAAAACAAGCTACATTTCCAGCGATTTTGTTCAAGAATACTACTTCATGTTTTTCCAAACACCCTTCTGACTTATATTATGGAATTTCCCTGTCGCAAAAAGTGGTAAACAACTCCTCATATGGAGAATGGCGCGCGCGTCGCACGTACTGCGCGATGTGACGCAGAACGCAGCTGTGCCGGTGTAGTGTGCTTTTAGGACTATAAAATACTGAATCATTGGTAATATTACGCATGCTTACGTGAAGATGGGAATGAGAATTGTCAACCAATGAAACGGTACAAGGCACCGGATTTCATAGGAGTACAATTTTCATTTGACACTGTAAAAGGATTTCAGACCAGCCAGTCGGTCTTTATCAACCGTTTAAAACAGGCCGAGTGGCGGTCTCTCGACCAGTGGGAATGGCTAAACTGTCTTAGGTATATATGAATTCATATAACCAACGTCAAGTGTGCTGTCCAGCTAAACGCTAACATAAATGGTGGTTGAATGTCATTTATTCTGATGAGAATATTTCGCTTGTGTCATAGGTCTCGATATTCAGCTTGTCAATGGCAGCGCTCCCAACGAGGGCAGGGTGTTAGTTCGCTGGTTCCCTGACTCCGAGTGGAAGGCTCTGTGTTATGCTCCCGACACGACCATCGCCTATCAGATGTGCAGGCGGCTCGGGTACCAGTTCGCGTGCGGCATGGAGGAGGCAGGGGCGGGGCGGACCGATGACCCCTCCCTGGTGAACATACCAAGCGTGGAATATGTGGCAGGCTGCTTTTCGGACATGTTTAACATCACTGCTGGGGGTTGCATCTTATTTGAGATACCTCCGTTTGGTTCCTTTATCGACTTGCCTTGTGCGCATGAACAAGACACGTGGTTAATTTGTGGATTTGCAGGTAAGCACAATTAGGGAGTAAAGTTAAGTAAAGAAAAGGGGACAATATTTGTCAATGATAGTTTTTTCAAAGGTTTGGTACTTGGTAATCGTTAATTTTTTTGCACTCCGTGATGACAATGATGTTTAGTTATGTTACAGACAGCTTGCAAGAAAAACCTCACAACAAGCTTACCGTAAGGGGACTCAGACCCACGACCTCCTGCTTACTAGTGCAGATGTCTTACCACTCGACCACTGAACTTGCCAAAGTGAGCCGGCCTGTTTGAATCTAACGGCGTCGGGTACCGCAATCAATCACAATTTCTCTCCCTGTGTACAGGAATGCCAGATTTCGAATTGCGACTGGTTGAGGAGGGGTTACTTGGTGCCACTAGAGGACTCGTCCAGGGCCGCTGCGGTGGGAGGCAGAAATGGGGCGCCATCTGTAGCAACACATTCGACCTGTCAACCGCTGGGCACGTTGCCTGCCGCGATTTGGGACAGCCTCCCGCCATTTCGGTAGGAGAGGTAGACCCCGGTGCGGTTTATCCAGGGCACGCTCCCGACTACACGCTTTTCGTAGACATCGGTTGTGTTGGGGACGAAGCGAGTCTGAGCGAATGCGAACACTACTCGCTGCGGCAGTGCGAGAGTTATGCCACTCTGGAATGCTTTAACGGTACATATGACATAAACTAAAATTGTTATTGCTTAGAGGCTAGGATTTCATGTCAATTTTGATGGGTTTAACGAGCAGAGTGTTAGAAACATTGCAATGGTTTGTCATGTTCTACTTTTAATTCTGTCTGGTTTTGAAACCGGAGGTTCCTCAACAGAACACAGGTACTGTAGCTCGACAGCCTGGAGAGCAAAATGAGAAAGGAAAATGAAGGGATTTTTATGTATTAGATAAGGGAAACAAATCCGGGTAACCCAAAGAATCGGACTGGGATAGAAACTCAATAATAACGCGTGATTTGGTTGGTTTGGAACCATAACTACAAGCCTCTAGGGTTTGTCACTGATCAAAATAATGTTCGTACTGATTACTATTAACTGTCAAAAAAAACTGACTGATTTGTCTGTTCCTTGCTTGCATTCTTTCGTTGTATTGCCTGCCAAAAGAACTGTCCGAAATTAATTATTTATTGTACATTTATTATATTTTTCAGGAACGAGGGATATCAGAGATATCGACATTAAGCTGGTGAATGGCAGAGCCCCCAACGAGGGGCGAGTCTTAGTCCGCTGGTCCTCAGACTTTGAATGGACGGCAATGTGCTTCAGTTTGAATTACACCGAAGCCGTGGCTTTTGAGTTGTGCAGGTGGCTTGGTTACCCGTTTGTGTGCGGCAAGGAGGCGGCAGGGGCGGGGCGGACCGATGACCCCTCCTTGGCGAACATATCCAGCGTGGCATATCTAACCACGTGCAGGTCAGACCCGAACGATGTCTTCGCAGGGGGTTGCTCCCTCTCTGCGACGCCTGATCCCGTTGATGAGACTCCTTGTTCTCATGAACAGGACATGTGGTTATCGTGTGGGTTTGCGGGTAAGCTCTTAAGAGTAATGGATCATAATGACATGTTTATAGTTTGGTAGCAATGCACGTGTGTAGTATTGTTCATAAACTGCGGAAAAGGCTTACGAACCCATTTACTGACGCAAGAGTTCCCCTGTCGGACCTGACGAGCCAGTCTATGTTTCATTGTCTTACGGGGTCACATGCTTCGTGTCAGACTGACTGAATGACTCTCCGACTGTTGACTGACTGACCCCCCCCCCCCCCCCGACTGACTAGGTGACTGACTGACTTCCCAATCCAGCTCGACTACGAAATCCTTGTCTTGTTCTGCTCGATTGCGACAAGTTCTGGAGACATTTCGAATAATTTGCGGTAATTTATTCCATCCTTTGTCAGGAATGCCGGACTTTGAAATGCGCCTGGCGGAGGAGACATCCGATAGTTCCAGGAGACTCGTTCAGGGCCGCTGCGGTGGGATACACAATTGGGGCGCTGTCTGCGGTAACCGATTTGCCAAGCAAAGGGCCGGACGTGTTGTATGTCGAGATCTTGGACTGTCTAATTACTCCATATCGACAGGAGCACTAGCCTTGGGAGAGGTTGATGCGCAGCTGGTGCCCGACTACATGTTGTTTGTTGACATTGGGTGTGTCGGCAACGAATCGAGTCTGAGCGAGTGCGAACACTTCTCACTTAGGCAGTGTAACAGCTACTTCACAGTAGAGTGTTTTACCGGTAGGTTTATAGAAATATGGTACATGTATAATAATATGTTCGATATTGTATAACAAGGTCTTCTGAGCAAGTGTGCTTCTGCCAGCGGTCCTCATTGGGTGCAATGTCAAAGTGAGGACACTCATTTTCCTTCCTCTTATGAGAACATTAGCGTTATCTTGAACTTGGAAGTGTCCACCTCAAGCTCTATATCGCAGAGGCTCATGCACGATCTTCTTTATTGGCCAATTATGTTCGACATTAACTGACTCTGAAGCCAGATTTAACACTAAGGCTGAAGCCGCAGCCGTTATTTGGGTGCCCTGTAAAATCACGAATAATGATCAAATGGTCACACATCCTCACTAGTTCGTTCAAAAATCGTCATCACCAAACAGCTACAAAACTACCGCTGTCACACTTGAAACCTTTCACCTTGTTTGCAGAAATTCGGGAGTATGCAGAGACTGCTTATCTGTGTGGTTCTAAGCAACTTTGTGGCCAAGAATGCAATCAACAGATTCATCCTCTACCGGACAGTACTGACGTATTCCACTACTGCAAGTGCGACGACGCCTGCGTTCTATTCGACGACTGTTGTTTCGACAGCGCCGATGTTTGCGACCGGATACCGCCAAGTTTAGAGCTTGGGGGATTCACGGCTGATTGGTTTGGCTGCGTCTGGGTACTGGGAAGTCAGTTCACTCACATTGGCTATGTGATGGTCGACCGCTGCCCAGACGACTGGAGAGACGGAAGCATGCGTTCTTTGTGTGACAAGCCCGTCGATGCGACAGACGTCATTGGGTCGATGCCAGTCTACGACGAGCAAGGTGTGGATTTTAAGAACATCTTCTGCGCCCTTTGTAACGGCAGGTCTCTGAATAGGTTAAACAGGTGGGATGTTTTGGGTTCCGACAACGGAATAGAAAGTACCGTGAACACATATTACCCATCTCTAAACCAGACCCTACCGACAAAGGGCTGGGTTAGCAATCCACCGGAAAATCATACAGAAATACGTAAGTGCCCCGCTCATGTCATTGACACCTGTCTGGATGAGTTTCGCGGCACTGAGACGGAGAGAGCTTGCAGATCGTACTATGCACCCATACGAGCCGACGAGAAAAACATTCGGTATCGTAACCCACATTGTGCTATGTGCAACGGCAAGGTACTTGTGCCAGATAACTCCTGCATGGACCAAGTCTGTCGGGATAAATGCGAACCGGAACCGTGGGGTGGTTGCCAGAGTATTTGCAGCCCGTACGACGACTTCTTCACAATTGAGGTTCTCTTTGACTTCACCTCCTCCTCTTCCATCAATGGGAGGTCCTGCTCGGAAGGGCAGATCTATGATCCATTCCTAGAGAGGTGCCGAGTGCTGACGTGCGCAGCTGGGTATCGAATCAACGGCGACGAGTGTGTGGCATACACTCCGGCAGATCCGCCCATAAACGGCAGTAAGGAGACATCTGCGATCGAATGCTGGGCAAAGCGTCTTGGCAAAGACACAGCCGGCGGGCAAGCCTTATTGGCAGGACAGACGATCATCATGAAGGACCCAGATGCGGACCAGTTGTCAGCTCTTGTTCTCCTAACCACCGCTGGTGAAGCGCTTGACATTGTAGCAGCTTTTGATGATGCGCTTGAATCAATAGACAACTCAACTACACTTTCTGAATTATTTTGCAACATATCTACGCTGTCGATTTTAGTGCCGTTTGCTTTTGCAGCTTCTAGTAACTGTCAGACTGTAAATGGAAATGAAACATTCTCAGGATATGTTGGAAACCTTTTCGAGGTGGTAAGGTTTCAAGATATCGGACACAAGATAGAGTACACAAAGCAAAGAGCAGAACCTCTATGCCTGAAGGTTGCCGACCTGAATTGCTCATCTCTTCTGACATTAAAGGGTTCCGAGTACATGATCTTGGCTGATGAGATTTTAGAAGTTGATGTAAGCGGCATTCGTATATCCGAGGATGAATATGTTCGTTTCCCAGACGGATCTGCAGTCACATGTTCTTTCACAGAGCCGCTGCCCGAGGGCCTGGAGCAGAAGATCAGAAGGGCAATTTCCTTTGCAGGTAGCTGCCTGTCTTTGCTGGCACTTGCCGCCACTTTCGTCACCTACTGCATCTTTCCTGAGCTCCGGAACACCGCAGGCAAGTCAACGATGAACCTGGTGGTGGCGCTCTTCGTCGCCATCTTGCTATTTCTACTGACGGGCTACCTCAGGCAGAGCCACGTCGCTTGTGTAACCGGTGCCGTGGCGGCGCATTTCGCCTGGCTGGCCGCTTTCTGCTGGATGACTGTCGTGAGCTTTAACGTCGCTCGCACCCTGGCCTCCAAAGTATCTCGGCCACGTCGTGGCAGAGGAATCGATCGTTCACTAGTCAACTACATGTGTCTTGCCTGGGGGATCCCCCTGATCATAGTGACCATCTGTCTGGCCCTCCAGTTCTGCAACTGCACCCGCCTACCTACAATCTACGCAGAGAGCAACATCTGTTGGATCACTGACGCCAACGTTCGCGTGGTCGTCTTCTTGGTACCGGTTGCGGTGAGCCTGGCTCTGAACCTCACCTTGTATGTCTTCACAGTGATCAACTTCTGGAGAAACAGGCAATTAAGCAAGGCTGCTCGGAACCAAACAACGACGGACGCGGTCAGAGAAGAACTCTCCGTCTACTTAAAGGTGCGTTAAGGATATCTTACCCTTTATTGACTGTTGGGACACAACGGCATAGGGTATTTGAGAGAGTCCTCAACCTCATTGTTGATGAAGCCAGTAAATTTCCTTGCGACAGGACACATTGACACATTCTTCCTCCTTTATTAGCCGCCATAGAGCTAAAATGTTGGATTGATTTTGACCTGGAATATTTAAGAAAGGTCGAGTCTTAAAATATAGGAACTATATCGTTAGGTAGAACAAAACCACTTCGGCTACCTGCGAATCAATCACAACTCTGAAATTTCTCAAATGACTCTACTGGCGGGAAAAGTTTTTATAACGGAGAACGTTACTTAATTGAACTGAAGTATTACACTCTGACTTTGTTATAGTGACGTAGTCGAGTTCATTATAAGTCACAACCAGTCCATTACAGGTCAATCAAGTCTTTCAGTCTTAAATGAAGTCGTAAGATGTTCAAAAGAATTGTAACAAAAAGTATGCGTTACAAATGTAGATGCAATAAACGACATGACTTGTGATAGACTTTTGATGGACTCAACTACAATTCTTGATATAACTGTTCATATTTGTTTTGTGAAGTGTGTATCACAAGACTTCAAGATGGTGTCTTCTTTACCGACAGATCTGCGCACTTGTTGGCGTGACCTGGGTGTTCGGTTTCGTGTCTCAGTCAGTGACTGGCATCGTAGTCTTCTCCTACATCTACATCCTTCTCAACTACCTCCAGGGAATCTTCATCTTCATCGCCTTCTGTCTGAACAAGAGAGTCCGGGGTCTGTGGAGGCAGAAGCTGAGAAAGATGCCGGCACACACCGGGAAGACAAATATAAATCCGACTCCTCATCATCCGAAACAGCAAACGGACACAATGTCCTCTGGGATGCCCGGGACAAGTCATTCGAAGAAGACCACAGAAAGCACCCATCTGTAAATCTTGTCTCTCCAACCTGGGGGCTCAGAACAATAAAAGTATCATTGCGCTATGATTTACTACCCCTACTACCCAGGCCAAAATGAAAACATTCCAGAGACCATCTCAGCTCCCATGGGAGGATGCAGCTCAATGCTGCACTATCGGCGCAATCGGCTAAACCAAACACATGACCATCTCTACCCTTAAAGGTCAGGTACCCTTTTACTCCTGGGTGGGAAGAAACAATGAGTGACAAAGTTCCTGCCCAAGGACACACGCATCGCAAATTCAGGCTAGACTCGTAACCACATGCATATGTGCCTACAAGATCATGAGTGCACACATTCCAAAAAATTGTATCCTTGTGGAGACATTTCTTTGTTCTCGTGAAGTAAAGTGTTCAATTTTGAAAGTGAAGTTTCAAAATGCTCTTATTTTAACCAGAATTAGTTTCCTTGGCTGAAATTTGGATTGATATCCCTTTTCTAAAACTCTTCCATTTGCGACGGATCAACCCACCTTGGAAATTCCTAGTTTTTGAGTAAAACCCATATATCTATTTCGTGAAAACCTTGTGGAGACCTATTCATCTATAGAAATTGCCCTGTGGAGACCTTTACAATGTGTTGTTCCCTATTGTGTGTGTGTCTCCACAAGGATACGAATTTGTGGTCAATGAACCAGAACACGAAACCACGGAATTCCACTGATGATTGACACAGTCACAAAAGCAAAGAGGAGACAACATGTCCCGGAGCCTGAGGTATAGCCAGATTCCACTTCTAATGAAATCAAAGGTAGTCAAATTAGTTCTCATATCAAAGTTGGGGTTATTTTGAAGAATAGTAAAAAGAACTGCATGGGTATGTGCAATGTATAACTGTGGTCAAAAGCTACCTATCATTTTAAGTGTCATTAATAAGGTTATTATAATAACACTTGATAGTAATTCAAGATCGGTTGTAAATATTGGTGATTCATCGCATTTGATTTTAATTCATTCCCATTGCGATAGGTTCTGCCCTACTGGTCACACTTTATGGACGTAGTTACTTTCACAGAATGTATTTCAGTGTATGTTGAAGTGTTTGATTTACCTCTTCTTTTTCGCAAACCAAAATATTTGGTATATATTCTCAAGAACTTGTATAAATATTCATTTTACAGTAACTTTAGATTTTACTTACATGTATATAATCATGTGCTGATTTATAAATGCAGCACTTACGATAAACTTAATCTTAGGTCAGTGAACAAAGATTCGACTGAAATGCAATGCACATTATATTCGTGAATAAGTCAGTACCTTTAGTTAAGATTAAACATTTTTTTTGACAAATGCACGTAGCTCCGTCACGTAACGAAGATTTTAAGCAGGCAAGACATCGACAAACGTTACTTTTAGTAGTTAATGTTAAGTTTTGTACTTAATGAAACCTTATATCTTGGTGTCAACTTCTTGAATGTTCTTTGGATTTTTTTTTTTACATAAAGCCGATAAGTAATACCTCATGTAGTGGACAATAATTAATCTAATTACAATTGAAGAAGTGTTTTACCAAATGTTTTCAATGCTGCGCCCGTCAGTAATTAAAAATGGTTTACAATTTGTTTCATTAGGGGTGCAAAGTAAAGAACACGTCGTACTTTTTAATTACAGTCCCCTGTTGAAACAAGCTTAAACCTTTCGGTTCTTATTTCCTAACTTAAATCACATACAATAACGATACCCGAAAGCTTTATTAAGGTTTCAACATGAATTATTCTTAATATCTTATAGTTAACTATATAATCAATAGCCCCTTTTAAAATCACCAGAACATTTTAAAAATAAAATTGGATATACCGTACCACCCATGTTCGACTTTTTAATGCAGCGGTCACTGAGAAAATTAACATAACACAGTTACGTGTTTTTAATTGACATTTACCGAGTTCTTTTGAAATAAAACGTTATCGTAAACGAAGGCAGCGAGCTCCGCAACATTGTCGTTGGACTAACTTTTAAATGTCTTGTTATACCACAAACACCAATGAGATCTTCATGGCAGGCAGCCATTTAAACAAAAATGAGAACAGAGTACAAATGTAGATAGCCAACACCTAAACTTAAAACCATTGAGATTTGCGCTATGGTTTCATATACATGTACATCAATTGATACGTAAATGGACGAATTGGAGGCAAAGGATGGAATTGTTAGAATTGAAGGAAAGCAACAGAGTTACCAATTCCTTCCTCTATTTTTTTTGAAGTTGCGTGAAAAGTCCGACCCGCAAATCATTAGACAATTTACGATAAGTGTAGGTCAGGGTAATTCATGTAGTTAGAAGGCCAGAGCCGCCATCGTGTCAAACAATTAGCTCGTTCTGAACAAATTTAGTCTTGGCAAAGACCAATGCCGAGCACTCTAAAATAATGGATTTGCCGTTTCCGTCGCTTGCCAAGCAGCCAGCAGGATGTTTGAAAATTAGGTTTGTGAATTCGAAGTAGCTTTAAGTGCACTTCACGTTGGGGCCATTGCCGACTTTCTGCGCGTGCGTGTGAAGGCCGTTCACAGTTCAGATGCTATTGAGCCATCACTGTTGTTCGCTATGCCTGGGCGTCTATCGTCTTGTGTTCATATTAACCGTAATATCCCATTATACTGAATAATTAGTTCCGCGAATTTGGTATGACCGTGGTGCGTGACCTACGTGAGTCTTAATGCTTGACCATGCATTAGTAATATCCCGATGAAATTATCGAGAGTACTGACGCCAGTGGTACAGCAGAAATCGACCTGAGGGTTTGCAGCAGTGTAAGTGAGAATTTCGTATCGGCCTACAAATCTTACTCTTCGAATCGCGTCTGTAAATTGCACGGATTTTTGGTTAAAGAAGTTTCGCAGCCGGACAACGGAGTATTAGGTGAACTACCAAGACTTCCTTTGGTGGAATGGAAGGACTGAATATTTTGCGAACGGTGGTCGTGCTGGTGGCTGTGTTCCATATTAACAAGGCGCAGGACATGGGTAGGTACTTTGTATAATTTTACATATAAATATAACTGTGAGCACACTATCAGAGTATGCTTATGGAGGCCCAAGCTGTCCCCGTCGCGTCATTGAAGGGGGTTGTTAGTTTTAAATTCTTATTTATAAATACCTAATACAGTTTCTCATTTCCATTTGTCGAGAGCCCGTCAGGTGGCCGGTCTTAAACGAAAGATAAAGGCACGGCTGGCTGGTCTTAAACACTTTTTCAGTGTTCGCCTCGGCAAATTATCAACATTCTAGACCCCAACCGGTTTTAAACATAGTGTTTAAAACCTGCCAAACAAACATTTATCCCCTTATTAAAATAGCTTATCATTATAAAAAAAACATGAGAAATATTGACTTAGATTTCCTTTTAAAGCCCATGATGTACACTGTAGAATAGAAAATTGGGCAAATGGGTTGGTATTTTGCCCAATGCTGGTCAGTATACAAACTGCCGAAACTCTTCAGTAATTTTTTTTGCCCGAATTAACCAAATTAAGGTAACTTCATACCAATGCCAAATATTTGTTTCACAACATTTCTTTTTCGATGTAATATAATGGTCACGTAAACGTTATAATTATGTGGCTCTTCGTATCCTCTCTTGGGACGTTTCTAGCTTGCTGCCAATGGATATGTGGTCCTGCGTAAACATAGTGACCGTTTTAGCCTTTTTTTCTGGCTAACTTTGACAGATTCTTTGCTAAAAAAAACGAGTTTGACAGAAAATTTGACAGAATGGACTCTTTTGGCAGATTTCTGGCAGAACATAAAAACATAGCAAATTAAAAAAAAAAATGGCCCATTTGTTTAAAAAAGCTTCAATCTTTTCAAACAAACCCTTGCATCATGGGACAGGTTGGCTCACTGGCTACCGGACTTCATCGTGACACTAATTAATCGCGTTTTGCCTGAAATTTACGCAATTTCATAACATCTTTATGTGACTTAAATTGTTTACAATGTAATTTGAACCTAAATTAAGGCAACACTACAACATCTGCATGTGATTTAAAGTGTTTACAGTGTATTTCGAGTAACTCTGGGGGATTTGGCAGATTTCTGATAGATCTGACAGATTTTTGAAGTGCATTTAGCAGAATGTAGCCATGACCTTACGGTCACCCTCTGCGTAAATCTCTCATTCTTCACACTTGTGTGCATATCATGAGTTGCCAATGTAATGAATTAGCTTATGTGTTCGTGTCATTCATTATAAATCGTGAATTTTTAAGGCCTACTTTGTCTATTGGTATGATCCGCTTAGCACAGGCCGGCATTCTCAAGACCAGATGAGCGATTAAACAAAAACAAAATCTAGAGCGACACACATTTTTTGTAATTAGTCCAGCTTTGGGATGGCTTTGCAAAATTGATTTGAAACTGAATGTTTCCATTATTCAATATTTCAATATCATATGAAATGCAAACGTTCTAGTATAATGTTTACGTCGCACCGGATACATAACATGAATTCTTCCTGCCGAGCAACATCACAACTGACCTTAACTCGCAATAATTATAACCGTGAGTGTTGTGTGCTATTTTCAGATAAAAATGACTGATCATTGCTGATCATGAGAAATGTGTGACTTAGATTCCCTTCTGAAACCCATATGTAAAATTGTCTTGAAATTCCGAAGATGTGGAAACGATTTAGCTCTACTTGTCCTTTCTCGGATATGCGTTCATGCATGAAAATCTCCGATCGTCACACTCTAGCTCTATGAATATCATGAGTTGCGAATGTGATTAATTAGCGTATGCACACACGTCCTTCAGTAATACAATTAATGAATACAATTCATGATCTAAATACAGGTCGGCAATTTTATAACGAGATGCGGAACCATTTTGTACACGAGTAATTAAACTTATGAATATTGACGGTGACGTGCAATTTTCACTAATTAATTCAGCTTCCTGACTGTTTTGGGAAAATTGATAAATTGAAAATGTCCATGATTATTACATGTAGTGTAAACATTCGAGTTGTACCAGATACCTTACATGCATTCTTCATGCAGAGAAACATGACAAGTGACCGCGGTTCGCTATATTACTCTGGAAGGTGTGTTGGGTGATAAATGATGGTGAAGCAGAACAATAGGCTTTACTATTTTGCTCATGCCAGAGGGCTAGCCAGTGGCGTAGTGAGGATTCGTATCCTGGGGGGGGGGGGGACGCAAGACAACCGGCCTTTGTAAAATCAAACAGCGTTTTTTTTATGGTGTAAACCGAGGACACACACGTGCAACATCATGGATGAATTGATGACAGGAACCAAACTGAGGACTCCTCGGATAGAAAACGTGTACACAACAAACAAGCAAAGAAGTAGGAGTATAAACAAAGGAACAGGGAAAAAGAACAATACAAATCCTCGATTAATCCGCAAACAAAGGATGTGTGTGTGGGTGAGTTTGTCTTACATACGCAGTGTGGACTTCCGAACAAAAGACGTCCACATAATGTAGGTAGCACCGACGTTGTGTGGACTTACCCCACGTCCACACAGTGTTTCCCCATTTCTGGAAAACAGGTTTAGAGGCATTTTTGGGTTAGGTTTATCTGTAGCAGAATGAAGAGAAACACTAAAGGGAATCATAGAAAAAAAATTGGGTTGAAAGAGTTTTCACAGTTTGAGAAAAATGAGTTTTTTCACTGGTTTTTCTTAACTACACGAAAGCAATGGAAAGTCCACACTAGTCATGTGAAACAAGTATGGGTGTCTGTGAGTGTGTAAACACTGGCCATCGTGGACCTAGAACAAAAGGGTTAGGGCAAAAACAATAAGCCCACGATTGACCGATAGTCCACGTTGGAAATTCGTGTACAAAACCAATGAGAGCTGATGCTAAAAACTTACAAACAAAGGAATGAGGATGAGGGGCAATAGGGGGTCCACGATTGCCGGTGTTTACAAAGATATGTGTGTACAAGTATTACATTCAATGTGTAGTCTTCGGAACAAAAGGTGTCCCCATAACCAGGTTTTAGATACGTTGTGTGGATTTGTCCGTGTCCACTCAAGGTCTCCTCTCTCTGGAAAACAGGTTAAGAGGTATTTTTCGCAAAATTATGAGAACCCTCAACGGAATCATAGAAACAATTGGGCACAGTTTTCGGCCAGGTGACAGACTCTCGACCAATAGGAATGGGTAATCTATCTTATGTTTTTAAGAAATCATATTACTAACGTCAACGGCTCTGCATTATATTGCATTATATTCAGTTAAACGCTAACAGAAATAGTGGTTGATGAGAATTTTTTCGTTTGCATCACAGAATTCACTGATATCAGAGATCTTGATATCCGACTTGTCAATGGCAGCGCCCCCAACGAGGGCAGGGTGTTAGTTCGCTGGTTGCCTGACTCCGAGTGGAAGGCTCTGTGTCTTAATCCGTATGCTCCCGACACCATCGCCTATCAGATGTGCAGACGGCTTGGGTACCAGTTCGCATGCGGTATGGAGGAGGCAGGGGCGGGGCGAACCGATGACCCCTCCCTGGTGAACATACCAAGCGTGGAATATCTGGAAGGCTGCTTTACGCACGCATTTAACATCACTACTGGGGGTTGCGTCTTATCTGAGTCACCTCCGTTCGGTCCCAGTACCGACCCGCCTTGTGCGCATGAACAAGACACGTGGCTAATTTGTGGATTTGCAGGTAAGCCCAATTAAGGGGAAAAGTTAAGTAAAGAAAAGTAGACCATATTTGTTGATGATAGTTTTTTTCAAAGGTTTGATACTTGGAAATAGTTTATTTTACACTTCGTGATAGCAATGATGAAAAGTCACGATACAGATATCCAGTATGAGCTACCTCTACAAAATATGCACTGGATACTTTGTGCTGCCTGAAAGCTTGCGAGAAAAACCTCACAACAAACTGACCCAATCGGGACTAAAACCCAAGACCTTCTGCTTACTGCCTTTACCACTCAAGCACCGGGCGCGTAATTTTTTTTCCTAGGAGGGTTAAGGGCAATGTCATGAATAATTCATGTTTATCCATGAGAACGGACAATGACATCAACAGCATTGTTGTTAGTTACTCAACTAGTTACAATACATTAAAGCATTTTAAAGAACGGTTGTCGTCGAGCTACCACACAGGAGCCTAGTGGATAGCGAGATGAGCTATGGATACAAAGATCCCTGGTTCGAATCCACGTCGTCGCTGCTCATGCATTTTCATCAGCTATTTTTCTTCTCCAAATTTATCACTGAGATATTTTTAAATTAAGGGGAAAATAGAACGAGAAGCTAAGTCTTGCAATGATTCAAAGGAAAAACTGAATTATTCATGACATTGCCCCTAACTCTCCTAGGAAAAAAATTACGCGCATCGGGCTTGCTGTGGTCGGCCGGCTGGTTCGAAACAGATAAAGCAGGTGGTACCGCAATCAATTACATTTCTCTCCATGTGTACAGGAATGCCAAATTTCGAATTGCGACTGGTTGAGGAGGGGACATTTGGTGCGACTGGAGGACTCGTCCAGGGACGCTGCGGTGGGAGGCAGGAATGGGGTGCCATCTGCAGCAACACGTTCGACCTGTCAACCGCTGGGCACGTTGCCTGCCGCGATTTGGGACAGCCTCCCGCCATTTCGGTGGGGGAGGTAGACACCCGTGCGGTTTATCCAGGGCACGCTCCCGACTACACGCTATTCGTGGACATCGGTTGTGTTGGGGACGAAGCGAGTCTGAGCGAGTGCGAACACTACTCGCTGCGGCAGTGCGAGAGTTATGCCACTCTGGAATGCTTTACTGGTAATTATGTGACAGAATTTACTTGCTATTGCTTAAGACTATGATATCAGGTGATGAGTTCATTGACCTAAGTTTTAGAATCATTGGCATTATGCGTCACGCTCATGATTTAATTCTTTGTGACACGGTAGCTACAAAGCATGAAAAAAAGGGAAGCAATGACAGAAGAGGATGAAGACATGTTATGCTTTAGAGAAGGTAGAAAATCGGGAAGGGTGTTCCCACGAAACCCACAGAATTTGACAGGGATAGAAAACCCAATCCAAATTAATTCTGGGTTGAATTTGCCCCCTGGCCAGAGTGGTTCAAGGCAAGCAAAAGACCACTGTGCCAAACTGACTCCCAGCAGAGTCTTTCTGGCCTGATTCCTAAAACGCACACTGGATTTTTAAACAAATCTGGTACCACAAGCGGAAGCCTCTAGTGTATGGCACTTTTGAAGATGGGAGCAAAACAATTTTCGTACTGATCGCTGTCATGTAAGCTAACTGATTCGTCTGTTCCCTGCTGGTATTTTTTCTTTCTATTGCCTGCCGGAAGTAAATAAATGTATGCACATTAAAATGATTTATACATTATTATTTGTTCAGGAACGAGGGATATCAGAGATGTCGACATAATGCTGGTGAATGGCAGCGCCCCCAACGAGGGGCGAGTCTTAGTCCGCTGGTCCGCAGACTTTGACTGGACGGCAATGTGCTTCAGTCGCAACCACACCGACGCGGTGGCTTTCGAGATGTGCAGGCGGCTCGGGTTCCCGTTCGCGTGCGGCAAGGAGGCGGCAGGGGCGGGGCGGACCGATGCCCCCTCCTTGGCGAACATATCCAGCGTGGAATACCTAATCGAGTGCAGGTCAGACCCAACCAATATCTTCGCAGGGGGCTGCTCCCTCTCGACGACACCTGATCCCATTGGCGTGTCGCCTTGTCCGCATGAAGAGGATATCTGGTTATCGTGTGGATATGCAGGTAATAATAAGCTCTAAACAAAGGCAAAAAACTTTTCAGATAAAATAAAGCCCATCTGAGACGCAATAGTTCTCTGTGGACAGGAAAGGACAGCCTGCTGTCCATTGATTGAGTCACTGACCGACTGAGTCATTGACTGACTGACTCCCCGACTAAGTCACTGACTGACTGACTGACTGACTGTCTGACTGAATGAGTCACATGAACTAAGACTTTCGAATCCGTGAGGAAATCCAAGTCTTGTTTCTGCTTGCCCTATTTTATAGCGCTGCTTAACGGTTAGGCAGAAAAGTTCTCTCTCAAAAGACCAGCCACGTGCATCGGCATTTTGAGCGTCAACGTGCATAACACGCATCGGCTGCGTCGTGCGCAATGCGTACTTGATTACGTAAAATACGCAATTGCAGTTCTCCTGCACAGAGATGGCCGTCTTTTTACAGCTTGCAGCTGATGTGCTGACGGTTGCGTGTGCATGGAGAGTTCTGTTGTTATGTCACTGATTAATGCAACTATTTCTTTTGGGGTTAAGCGAACTTTTGCTGAGCCTATTGCTTACAGTCTCTTTTGGTCTCGGTAAGCACAAGATCAGCTGCTATGAAAGCAGCGCTATGAAATTGGGACCAGTTTTTGATTTATTTCAAATAATTTGTGACACGTTATTTCAACCGTTGTCAGGAATGCCAGACTTCGAATTGCGACTGGTGGAGGAGGCATCCAATACTTCCAGAGGACTCGTTCAGGGCCGTTGCGGTGGGATACACGAATGGGGTGCCGTCTGCGGTAACAGATTTGCCAAGCTCAGGGCCGGGCACGTTGTCTGTCGAGATCTTGGATTGTCGAACTACTCCATATCAACAGGAACACTAGCCTTTGGAGAGGTTAATGCGCAGCACGTGCCCAACTACAATCTGTTCGTGGATATCGGTTGTGTTGGCGACGAAGCAAGTCTGAGCGAGTGCGAACACTTCTCTCTACGTCAGTGCCAGAGTTACGCCACAGTAGAATGTTTTACCGGTAGGTTTATGGCGGACCTTCATGTGGTATTATAGAACTAGGGGTTCTGAGCAAGTTTATTTCTTCCATCGGTCTTCTTGGGGTGCAATGTCAAAGTGACGACACTCCTTTTCCGTTTTTCTAATGCGCACATTAGCGTACTGTGCATAATATGGGAGTTTCCAACTTAGGCTAATTACGACCTATTTAATCAACGCATTCTGTTTGGCTGTGACTGATTCTGAAGCTAGAGATAACGCCAAAGCCGAAGCCGTTGCCGAAATTACCAATCATGGTAAAGAGACATACATCTTCACAGCCTTTTGCTTTTGGCCAGTCATGCATTATTGAAATGATACTTAAAAACATAATTTAGCCGTTTACTTACGGTTTTTTTCGTACTTACATTTGATACCTATTCCCTTGTTTACAGAAACTCGGGAGTATGAAGATATTGCTTATCTGTGTGGTTCTAAGCAACTCTGTGGCCAAGAATGCCATCAACAGATCAATCCTCTGCCGGACAGCGCTGATGTATTCCACTATTGCCAGTGCGACGACGCCTGCGTTCTATTCGACGACTGTTGCTACGACTACGCCAATGTTTGCGACCGAACACCGCCAAGTTTAGAACGCGGGGGCTTCACGACTGATTGGTTCGGCTGCGTCTGGATACCGGGCAGTCAGTTCACTCACATTGGTTTTGTGGTGGTAGAACGTTGCCCAGAAGACTGGAGAGACGAAGGCACACGTGCTTTGTGTGAGAAGCCGATCAATGTGACAGACGTCATTGGTTCAATACCAGTATACGACGATCAAGGTGTGGATTTTAAAAACATCTTCTGTGCCCTGTGTAACCGCAGGTCTCTAGCTAGGTTAAGCAGGTGGGACATTTTCGGCTCTGACAATGTTATAAGTAGTACTGCGAACCTATATCACCCATCTCTCAACCAGACCCTTCCGACAAAGGGCTGGGCCGTCACTCCACCAAAAGGTCACACAGAAATACGTAAGTGCCCCGCTCATGTGATTGACACCTGTCTTGTTGACTTTCGCGGTACCGACATGGAGACAGCTTGTAGAGCTTACTACGCACCCGTACGAACCGATCGGGAAAACATAAGGTATCGTAACCCACACTGTGCTATGTGCAACGGCAAGATTCTCGAACCAGATAACTCCTGCATGGACCACGTCTGTACGGAGACATGCGAACCTGTACCGTGGGGTCACTGCATGGGTGTATGCAGCCCGTACGACGACTTCTTCACAATTGAGGTTCTCTTTGACTTCACATCCTCCTCTTCCATCAATGGGAGGTCCTGCTTGGAAGGGCAGATCTATGATCCATTCCTAGAGAGGTGCCGAGTGCTGACGTGCGCAGCTGGGTATCGAATCAACGGCGACGAGTGTGTGGCATACACTCCGGCAGATCCGCCCATAAACGGCAGTATGGAGACATCTGCGATCGAATGCTGGGCAAAGCGTCTTGGCAAAGACACAACCGGCGGGCAAGCCTTGATGGCAGGACAAACTATCATCCTGGAGGACCCAGATGCGGGACAGTTGTCAGCTCTTGTTCTCCTGACCTCTTTTCGAGGAGCGCTTGACGTTGAAGCATCTTTTGATGGTGCACATGAATCAATAGACAACACCACCACACTCCCTGGATTACTTTGCAATATATCTACGCTGTCAATTTTCGTGCCGTTTGGTCTCCGAGCTTCTAGTACCTGTCAGACTGTAAATGGGAATGAAACATTTGAAGGATATGTTGGAAACCTTTTGGAGGTGATAAGGTTTCAAGGTATCAAAGATAAGGGAGAGTATACGAAGAAAAGAGCATCGCCTCTATGCTTGAAGGTTGCCAACCTGAATTGCTCATCTCTTCTTACGTTAAACGGTTCCGAGTACACGATCTTGGCGGATGAGATTTTACAGGTGACTGTAAGTGGCATACGTATACCTACTGCCGAGTACGTTCGTTTCCCAGACGACTCTGCTGTCACGTGCTCTTTCACAGGTCCGCTTCCGGAGGGGTTGGAGCCGAAGATCAGAAGGGCAATTTCCTTTGCAGGTAGCTGTCTGTCTTTGCTGGCACTTGCCGCAACCTTCGTTACATACTGCGTCTTTCCTGAGATCCGGAACACCGCGGGCAAGTCAACGATGAACCTGGTGGTGGCGCTCTTCGTCGCCATCTTGCTGTTCCTACTGACGGGCTACCTCAGGCAGAGCCGCGCCGCTTGCGTGTCCGGTGCCGTAGGAGCGCATTTCGCCTGGCTTGCCGCTTTCTGCTGGATGACGGTCCTTAGCGTCAGTGTTGCTCGCACTCTGGCGTCCAAGGTGACCATACCGCATCGTGGCAGAGGAATCGATCGTTCACTGGTCACCTACATGTGTCTTGCCTGGGGGATCCCCCTGATCATAGTGACCATCTGTCTGGCCCTCCAGTTCTGTAACTGCACCAGCCTACCTACAATCTACGCAGAGAGAAACATCTGTTGGATCACTGACGCCACGGTTCGCGTGGTCGTCTTCTTGGTACCGGTTGCGGTGAGTTTGGTTCTGAACATCACCACGTATATCTTCACGGTCATCAACTTCCGGAGAAACAGACAAGCAAGCAAGGCTGCTCGGGATCAAACAACGACGGACGCAGTCAGAGAAGAACTCTCCGTCTACTTAAAGGTTCGTTAAGAATATCTATCTTTTATTGGCTTTAACGAAACACAGCATCGGGGACAATTGGGAGTCTGCATCCTAATCGTTGAGCGAAAACTAATTCAAACAAGCTATAGATACTGGTTGTCTTGGCTTCATCCCTTTTGGTTTGTCTCCATAGCGTGGAAACTCGCCTCGGAATACTTCAGAAAAGTTGGGACTTAGCATGAAAAAAAAACACAACAAAACTGCATCACACATGTAAGCGCCAAAACAAATAACTTGAACTTGCGAAATAGTCTGAAGTCTCCTAATTTATACGCATCTATTTCTTAAATCTCCACTACCGGGACAGGTATAAGCTATATTTTGGACCACACATTCTCCATTTAATCTCGATTCTATCACCAATCCTCATAATTCCTTTTAAAAAAAAGCATTCAGAAATTAAACAGTCCCCAGTCAAGCAGCATGTTTTTTTTTCTCAAAATGTACAACGACATAATCATTCCTCATTGTTATTGAAGATCCCTTAACTCATATAAACCGGACATGCGAATAGACTCGTGATTCACTTGTGACCAGACCTGTGGGTTGTTTTAGTGTCAGCTTGGAAAACCTCAACAACGTGTCCTCTTCTTTAACCAACAGATCTGCACACTTGTTGGCGTGACCTGGATCTTCGGCTTCGTGTCTCAGTCAGTGACTGGCATCGTAGTATTCTCCTACATCTACATCCTCCTCAATTATCTCCAAGCGGTCTTCATCTTCATCGCCTTTTGCCTCAACAAGAGGGTCCGGGGTCTGTGGAGGCAGAAGCTGAGAAAGAAGCCGGCACACACCGGGACGACGAATTCGACTTCTCACTACCCAAGGCATCAGGCGAACACAATCTCCTCCAGGATGTCCGGGATAAATCACACGAACACGACCACAGAGAACACCCATCTGTAACTCTTATCTCTCCAAAGTGAAAGCTTGTAACACAAAGGTATCGACATAATAGCACACATATCGACCAAACAGGCTTTCATTGCGCGGTATGATTTACGTCCCCCGCTCGCCGCGTCATTGAAAACATTCCAGGAACATCACAGCTCCTCGGGGAGCATACAGCTTAATGCTGCCATATCGACGCAATCGGATGAATCAAACACATGATAGTTTTTCCATCACGTGTACCAATTTACTCCTGGGAGGGGGAGAGGCAATGAGTGACAAAGCGTCTTGCCCAAGGTACAGGACACGAATCACAAACCCCAGGTTAGACTTGAACCAATAACCTTCAGATTTACCCACAAGATCAGCAGTTCAATACAAAAGACTACGAAGCCACGGTACTCAACGGGTTTGGGAGGGAGACAACATGTCTCTGAGAAAAGGCCGTTTGGCCTGATTCAACTTCGTCTGTAGTCAATATAGTTCTCCTATCAAAGTCGGGGTTTTTTTTCCAAGTATATATAAATAAAGATAATAAATACAATGTAGGTGATGTAAAATCGTGTAGTTAAAGGCTGCTAATAGTTTTAAGTGTCATTGTAAGGTTATTGTATGTGTAATTTCATTTTAGACGAAGTATAGATTTTGCCCACGTCATATCTAATTGTTAATTAAATTACACTTAGTGAATATAGTTACTCAGATACACAGTATTTCAGTACTTTTACGTGTTCGACTTGCCTGTCTTATTTTGGAAAATATAGATTTGTATAAATATTATAGGTAGGCTTTTACTAAGGGAATAAATGTGTGCTCGAGAGGTTTTTATCACTCTGTTTAAGACCACTTAGAGTCTGGGTGCTGATAATTACCCGAGCCGGAGGCGAGGGTAATTATCAGCACCCAGACTCTAAGTGGTCTTAAACAGAGTGATAAATACCGACCGAGCACATATTTATTCCCATTCATAAATACCTTTTCGGTTAAAAAATATCAAATAATTCGTTCAAAAAATCCCAATATTGTTCAACAAGTTCTTTCATGCTTTTTTAAACATCCCTCTGGCAAAATAATGGAGTGTTCAGCTGGCGAGTAAAGATGTAAACAACCCTTTTACGGCGATTGACGCGCGCGTGGCATGTTCTGCGCGATGTCGCGCAGAACGCACCTAGGGCGTTGTGTTTGGAATTTTGAACTGTAAAATTCTGACTCACTGGTAGTGTTGCGCATGCCTACGTGAGGATTGTGAACGTTCAACCAATGAAACGGTAAGAGGCACTGGATTTTTAGGAGTCCACATTTTATTGTGACACTGGAAAAGTGTTTAAGACCAGCTAGCCATGTCTTTATCATCCGTTTAAGACCGGCCACGTGACGGGCTCTCGACCAATAGGAATAGCTTAACGGTCTGAGGTATTTATGAAAATTATATTTCATTGCAAATATATTACTCTGTGTTGCTGTACCAGCGCAGCACATACGGCGCACTTTGTCTGAGGTCACTTTTGAAACTCCGTTGGATCTGTATCGATTAATCGTGTTTTTATTTAATAATTTTCTTTTTAATTGAGCTGATAGGTAATACCTTAAGAACTGAAAAAGAGTTCATTTTATCAAATGTTCACAATGCTCCACCTTTGGTCTCAGTTTACTGGGGGTGTGGCAAAGTTAAAAACAAGTCGAACGTTGAAACTAAAGTCCCCTTGTTGACACAAGCTTAATCCTCTCGGTTTTTGTTTTTATTTAAATCATATGAAATAACCGATATCCGAAAGGCTTTATTCTCGGTTCAACCAAAAAATAACCAAAATACCAAGAACATTTTAATTATTGAACAAAAAATAGATATACAATCAACGGGTCGGTAATTGTTTTGTTTGTTCAATTTAACACAGTTGCTGGTATGGTGTTTGACACCTGCCAAGTCCTACGGAAATAAAAAGTTATCATCAACGAAGGTACAAAAAAGGCAGCGAGTGTATGTGTCGAAATATTGTCGCTGGACAATATTCTAAATTCTTATCATCAATACCAATGTAAATTTCAGGCCAGCAGCCATTAAAAAAATGAGAATAGAGTACGAAATTTAGGTAGCCCACGCACAACGGGAAACCACCAAGATTGACGCTTTGGTTTCAAATTCATCAATTATTAAACAAATCACCTACTTATGCGCAAATGCGAACGAAAATACAAACAGATGGAATTGTTTGAATGGAAAAAACAACAAATGTATTCATCTATTTATTTTGTTAGATTTAGTGAAGTGTCTGACCAGCAAATAATCAGACAGTCCTTCTGTTTCATGTAGTTAGAAGGCCAGTGCTGCTATCGTGCCAAACAATTGGTTTCAGGGTTCGTGCTTAACAATAAGGCCTTGGCAAAGACTAATACTATACTAATACTAAATAAAACGTAACCATTCTAAAAGAATTGATTTCCAGGTTCCATCACTGCACTGTAAAAAGCAATGCAAAGACTTTTTTTGCCAGTTTCAACATGAATAATTCTGAATATTTTATAGTTTACCATATAATCAATAGTCCTTTTAATAATCACCAAAATATCATGACAAAAAAATTAATTCTTAAAATAAAATTAGATATACAAACACAGGGTCGTTTGTTAATGCAGAGGTCAATGGGAAGAATTAATTTAGTTGCGGGTTTTTAATTGACATCTACCAAGATCTTTCGAAATAAAAACTTTGTCCTCAACGAAAGTACAACAGTGGCAGCGGGCGCCGTTACTTATTTTTGTACAAAATTCCAAACGTCTTGTTATACAGAGGGGCATTGGTCTTAAGATAACGGTGTAGAGGGAGTTACAGAACTGCCATTCTGCAAGGCAAGTTCAACAGTGAATATGTTATTGCTGCCAATTTTCCGTCTGTCCTTTTGGCAGCAAAACACCTTTTTGAAAGCAATGCGGTAACGCCAATTGGTGATATTATACACAATAGGATTGATCGCTACGTTTGTGTAGATTAGCGTCTTGAATACCCAAAGTATCGTCAGCTTCTGTTCGAATGTTAGCAAATGGATTCCAATGGTTTCTGTGATGGTCTCCACGAGGTAGTAGCTCTCCAAAGGTGATAAAAGCAGGAAGAAGAGGCCCCCTGTGGTCAAGACCATCCGGTCGATCGCATTGCGCTGGCTTGATGTCACCAGGGTATCCTGCAGTTTGCTCCGTTGTTGCATGGCGCGCACGATGGATGCGTACATGACCGCGTTCACTACAAGACTGACGAAGAAGGGTAAGGTGCGCAGTGCATTTCTGACGTAAGACACCCACTCCGGGAAGAAGTCAGACTGGCACACCATGATCTCTCGAGGATAATTCTTGCAAGGTATCACAACTGGAAGCACTGTGTAAAAAGCCGGAAGTAAACAAGCAGCGGCTACTACCGCAAGTACCCAGAATGCAACGCTGAGCCTGGACCGCTTGGTAGACGTGCGCAACCTTGCCTGCAGCGGCCGGCAGATGGCAATATACCGGTCAAAGGTGACTGAGGTGATGAAGAACAAGGACGCAAAGTAGGAGATATAGGAGAAGGCTGGCCGCAGGATGCATCCGGTAACAAACCCGAGCGGGAAGATGTCATAGCGGAACGGTGTCATGGAATACAACACGATCCTTGCTGATGAAGACGACATCAAATATAAGATATCTGCCACTGCCAGTTGCACAAGATAGCAACTTGTGGGTGTCCGCATGAACGGCACGCGGTGGACCACGATGATAAAGGCGGCGTTACACAAGATACCGAAGACACAGATCACCGGTATGACGTAATAAGTCATGGTCCTGTCGATGGGGAGGTATACCATGTAAGAATCTGTCCGGTGGTCGTCTCGGAAATACAGGGCAGTGCAGTTGTCCAAAGCCATGACACTCAGCCTTTCACGAGGTATGTAGTGAAACACTTGAACTTGGACTTAACCAATACACAACATTAAGGTTAGCCTTGATGCCGTCACGGTAGTTTGGTCCTATTTCGGGTTTTCGTCAGTCACATTACAATACGAGGTACACGATAGCTCTTCCAGTGGGTTCCTTTCAATGTTCTCACCTCTTGTACACAGTGGCTCCCGTCTGGTCACGATGTAATACCATGGGTATTGAAGCTTCGTCGTGCCAAGAGAATATCGAAGACCAAAATTCACCTATCTGACAAAATCCTAAGATATGAGTCACAACATCGTCAGAATTTTCATTCCTGCGTTTTATATGAATGTCTGCATACGGAAGCTTGATGATTATCCACAATTCATCTTAATTGTTTCTTGTTTAAAACAACTGTGCTTGTAGCACCAACAACAAACACGTATAGTGTTCAATAATCGAGTTGGTGATGTGTCAAACAGCAAACAGTGTACAACACACAGTACTCCCGATACAAATAAAATGAACAGTCTAGTCTACAGCTTAATTCACCCCAAATTTGCTACTTATCGCATTCGAATTCTGCGTATTTCTCACCATCCTTGCAAATAATGCTGGTGGTCAATTATCATGCCTATACTCACTGGGAACGACAACAATTAAAAATGAGCCACGCGGAGACAACAATTTATGATGATTACTTCGTGACTCTAAAATCAGTGGAGTAGAAAATAGAATATTTCAATTGCTTTATATCAAACCAAATCGTGCTGAAGCTAGCTCCATTAATCTCCAACGTATACTTTACTGACATTTTTTTTATAGCTCGAAAACTAATTGTTTTTATTTCAGAAAAAAATAAAATAAAATCCCTGACGTCAGCGGCACCGCACACCGGGTATACCGGTACTTACGGTAGTTGTGTGTTAGTATTTAAATCGAGACTTTAGTACGTATTTTTCAATCAATGTTACTTGGAAATTCGTGGAGGACCTGATGGTTTTACCATTGATACCCAGAAAATATTGGTTTGTTCAATTAAACGATAATTCTATGTAAAAGGGTGTCTTTTGTCAAGATGCCGTCATTCGACGGCTGATATTTAACACCGATTATATTTAGGCCTTGAATCTTAGGCATGGAATCATTTTCCAAGGTGTCCGAGGCGGTCGTTGAAACTGTTGACTACGTCATCAGGCGCGCAATGGCAATGTTTGACTCTCCCATCGATGTTGATTGCTCCTCAGCCATCGTGCAGTCCGTAGAAAGTCAGGTCTCCTTGACTCTGAGACAAGAAGGTCAGGTCAGTACGTCAGGACACCATCCATGTTGAGGCGGTCAGTCTGAACCTGATTCAGGCTAGCAACGGACTCAGCTTCGTCTCGCTTCGACAGCCTGGACAAGCGGTACCTCCCCAGGGCTCACTCGTCGGTTCCGAGGGCCAGACATTCTTGGATACGGCTAAGATACCGACAGGTTTTGAAGTGATAGCATCGGTCCTATTACCGGCTAGCATTGTGGACTTGATGCATTCGCCTGACATAAGTAAGTACACAAGGCATGTTCTAGTATTTTGTTTGCTTGATATAAAAAAAAACCAATATATCCATCATCTAGTCGTCTCCTACCCAAAGCATGGCAAAAATGGCAACAGTCAGATGTACATGGAAACATGGCGCATGTTCATACTCATTGTGGCAAAGCGCTTCTCTGCTATCCTTTGTAGGCAATGATACCTCTGCCAAGCTACAAGCCAGCTTCCTGATCTACGCTGATGACACTTTGTTCCAGTCTGCTTCAATCAGAGAGTATCGAGGGGAGGATAACTCGACTCGTAAGGTCGCTGGATCTGTCGTCTCACTGACTGTGGAAAATGTGGATCTCGTCAACCTCACAGAACCACTCTTGATTGAATTCAAGGTTAGTTGACTAATCGAATGAGGAATCACCTTCATCGGAATCAAACATAGCCAGTCACCTAACTCATACCCGATTTTTAATTATTGGTTACAACAATGTTTAAGACTCAGTATAACTTCGCCTTAAAAAAAGAACAATTTGAAATATTTTTCTCTAATAACCACAGACACCTGATGAGGCAAGTTACAAGGAGAGAAGGAAGATCCAGTGTGTCTTCTGGGACTTTGAACTTGGTCGGTGAATGGTCAACCTATGGCTGCACACGGGCAGAAATGACTAATGAAACGGCGCTGTGCAGCTGTAACCACGGCAACAACATTGCCATGCTTATGGTTTGTGACAATCTTATTGATTTCAAAATGGTTTCAGTAAATGAAAATATCAAAATGAAATGACTGGGTTTTATAACTCGGGAAACGTGGCTACATGAAAAAAATCCCTAGTATTGAATATGTTCGGCTACTACATTCCTAATTATATGCTTACATTTGCTGAAGAAATCATGAAAAGGCGTATAGGCAACGTTACGTTTTGATATGGAACGAACCTCGGTTATCAATAATACCTAACAACGGCACAAGTTTAAACAATACAAAACATGGATACAATGTTCTCCTATCTCTCTTTGAATATCTGTGCCGAGGATATTTCGATTATCAGAAACATTTTTATTACAGGTTTTAGAGATTCGCGTTGGATTCCGTGCTCTTTAAATTTACATAACGTAAGAGGCGTAATGGCGTGGCAGATTAGATGAGGCATAAAGTAAGGGAACGAAGCTAGTTGCAAATGGACCACAAGCACAAACAAGTGACTGGAAGGCGACTGCTATTATACATGAAATTACACTGTGGTTTTATGTTAAAATGCCTAGTTGTAATTGGTTTCAGTACTTAATTTTGTAAGGATACATATTATGATAACGGAATTGAGTACTTACCCAATCGCAGACTAATCGCAGAGATTGTGCACGTCGGGTTGGTTGAAAATCGATTATTGCACACATGACGCCAAGTGTCGATGGTGGATCAGTTCCTGCAGACAATAAGTAAGCAGAGTAATTATTGCATATTTAAATAAAATGAACCAAAAGGAGATGTCCAGCACTGGCAGATTTTTCACATTTAATAGGAAGTTGCAAAACATGCGTTTCTAAGAAAAAAAAACACATCTCATGGACCCTGTTACGTGTGGACACACCAAACTAAAAGCTCAGTACGTCACACATGGCAGCAAATGCAAATTAAATGTGAAGAATAAACAGTTAGCCAAAAAAAGGAAGGGATATGTGTTGGACAACCAGCAATTAACAAGGCGGTGAAACAATGAAATTAAGGTGCACGACCTTTATTTATTATCAAAGTCAATCCAAATCAGAGTGAAAGATGTAATCAGGTAAATGGATAATATAATACAAATTTATACAATCATAAATTAAGTATCGGCCGATTCTTACGCAAGACTGGGAATGAAGGAATGCCCGGTGAACTGAAGAAAACGTAGGGGGCCGGGTTGCTCTGTTTACCGATGAGGGGCGGCGTGACAAACAGCGTCTTCTCACCTCGGGATTCCGAGGTGTGGTCCACGTCCAACGAGGGGGGGCTTGGCTGACTTGACTGAAGGGACCGCAGGATTTGACTGCATTGCGACAAGGGGCTCACACGGATAGGGTTTCATACCCGTGCTAATAGTTCATGCTGTTTTAAAGAGCTTGAACCTACAGCACAGTCGATGAAGAGCCAAAGCGTGGAAGAAACAGCCACGCCCAAAAGGATCCACTTCAGGTAGCTTGACTTGAATATGCAGGAGCTGGTTCTTCAGTGTTGTCAGCGGTCCGCCTGCCCGTGATGGTATGGCTAACAGAGGCCTCGGCATGGGAATGTCTACCCAATTTATAGTGGGCCAGCACATTCCACTTGTTCACTCTAAGTTTATGCCAAGTTAATACAAAGGGAAATATTTTGGAGGGTTCGAGCCCAGAGGATTAAGCTGATAATCTCTCACCAGCTGGCCTGACCCAAATACATGGAGGGTTCGGGCCCCCGGAGGATTAAGCTGATAATCCTTGACCAGCTGGCCTGACCGAGATACATGGAATTTAAACTAATTTCATTGACGATGATACACTAAGCGAAACTAACCACACAAAAAACAAAAAAACCAGAACATGTAATATTCGTATGCCTCAAAAGTGACCAACATGCGTGTCCGTAAATAGATTTTGGGCATTCGCTTAAATGAACTAAGTAAAACTGAGTAAAGTATATGACGGTTCATACATGTATGGAGGTTTCAACGGACGTTGATGTTTTTGTTTGGCTAAGAGTTTTTACGTACCAATAGTAAAGATGTTTGGTTACACGTGTCCACAATAAATGTTTTCAAAATGTTATACTTTTTAGGATGTAAGTGGCCAAACACTTGATGATGAAGATGACACTCATGCTAAGACAGCGCTTGATATCATCAGTCAGGTTGGCGTTGCTTTGTCAATCATAGCTCTAGCTATCATGCTGATTATATACTTAGCTATCAGGTAAGAATGTTAACTACTTAACATGTGATCGAGCTTTAATTGGGCTTCAAGGCTCACCTGATGTCGTAATTTGTCATTATTTTATGAAGGAATGCAAACTTTCCTACATTTAAAAGTAACTGTTATAATTCAATCTAATTTCTAACAACAATCTCAAGGTAGACCTTTTTTTCGGTTTATGAGTGCATCCAGGGATTTAAAAGAATCTTTTTAAATGGAGAAAATAATAATTATTAAATAATTGCCCATATTGTCAAACGTTAAGCCTCCAAATTTACAGGATACTACGAAGCTTTGTTTTGACTGATAATGTAGTAACCAACGGATAATGTATCACCAACCGATAATGTCACACAAATTGACCGATAGTGTAGTAAATTGTACTACAGTATCAGTCAAAATGTGCAACATTATCGGTTAAGACCGACAACAATCGACTGATAGTGTAGTACATTTTACTACACTATCGGTCAATTGTTGTTACATTATCGGTCAGTGACACAGTATCGGTCAATTTGTGTGACATTTAACGGTTGGTGATACATTATCCGTTCGTTACTGCATTATCAGTTGTAACAAGCTTCTCCTTGTTGATGTTGTACATCGTGTTCCTTGCCGGGTATGCCGGCGTTGATAATGCATTGGTATGTCTCAAAATAGTTAGCGGTCAACCAATTTCTCAAAACTCTAATTTGCCAATCGAATGCAGTTTGCATACAGTGTTCAAATACTTGGTGAAGTACCTGTTGAAGAATGCTTATTCGGGTAAAATTCGGGTAAAAGTTGGGAAGAATTTATCCAAAAGTGTACGCAGTTGATATGTTGACCAACATTTGGCAAACTACCACCCCATTTTCCAAACTCGTAGAAAATACTGGCACTTAAATCAAAGTATTTGTGGTGATCTGATTTTGTTGAATAGACTTTGCACATAACTGTACGATCATATCAGATCGCTAAAAACACTTTTTATGAATTAGGCCCAAAAAAGTCTCCGGTTTCTGGTAAGGAGCTTGCCCATAAATTGGTGCGGCGACGCGGCTTTTTTTTACCTGTTTTTTTTTGCTTCAAATGTCGGCTGATGATTGCAAATGGTGCCCGACTAAACTCAAAATATATGGGAGTCCAGAGAGGCCACATAAAGCTTATTCTCGATCACAACCCCATCTAAAAACACGTTACA